TAATTGTCAGGAATGGACTGGCCAGCAATGGTGGGACTCGCCTGCCTTATGGGCTGCAGTACCGGGGCTGGCCAGCGGGTGCTCCCAGCAATCAGAGACTCAACCTTGCAGCCAGCTAAACACCTGAAACTGCTTACACTGGTGTATTTAAGGGATGGCCAGACCTGCAGACTCTGCCTTGGTGTATGTTTCTCCTGGGCCCTGTATCTGCTCCCTGTTCCTGTTCGATTCTCTGCTGACCCTGCTCTAATCCCTGGCTTGTCTGACCATTCTCCCGCTCCTGATCCCTGGCTTGTCTGACCATCCCTCTGCCTGACCCTCTGTACCACGCTGCCCGCTACCTGCTGAACCTGGCTTGTGACCCCGACCATTCTCCGCTTGCTCCCCCTGTACCTACCTGCCCGATTGATATTGACCCGGCCTGCCTGACGACGCTTGCATTGTATGTACTGTTATTTGTGGGTGGTTTGGTTTGGTTTGTTTGCACTGTGTTATGTTTTAGTATTGCACTGCGTTTATGTTTGTATTGTTAGTGTTAATAAATTACATTGTTTATAACATATCTGAAGTCTGCGTTTCCCTGCGTCAGTCACACACCTCTGGTCACACCCGGGAGCCCTGACAGTAATTCTTCCCAATAACCACAAGTGTAAGGAGCATTCTTCCATCTGACTATCACACCAATGTATCATGAATTGTAGATATAGTCATTTTTAGCAGGGGTTCCCTGAGACCGGAAAGTTTTGTCAACGGTTCCTTTGCGTTGAAAAGGTTGAGAGAGGCTGTTCTAGAGACTGAAATTTGGTGTATACATCAGAGTTTGCTCAAAGCTGCTGAGACTTTTCCTTTTGTTAAACTCCTAATAACACCATGATGGAGAGACTTTCTCAGCTATTTAGGACAGTAATAATGTTCAACAACTTACTAAAGGTGCATATGCTTATGCCCACGTATGGGCAAATAGTAGAGGGGTTTTGACAGATCAGTGGCATATCTGAAGCTCCTACTTAGTGGTCGTGGTGCTGCTACAGGAGCATCTTTCAGCCTGTTGGTTGAGCTATTGTCTGTGACATGACTGGGTAGGCCAGCACCCAAGCATATTTCAACCTTCTACAAGTGCATGTTACATTACCACCTTAGCAAACCCATAGAACCAGATCCATCTGGGAGGTAAGAGGGAAACAATGGGCATTATTTCTGACACAATTGCTTAGTACGTTGTGGTGTTTGAAATAAATAAAGGTCTGGGAAGCTCTGGATGTTCTAACAAAATAACCCAGTTTTAGCTTCTTAAAGTATATGTAAACCCTCACTTTGTAATTAAAACAACCTATTCAGTTTAAAATGAAAATTAAAAGCAAAAAATTTGAGTATACATATAAAACTCATGATAAATACCCTTTTTCCCCCTTTTATATACATACCCTCTGTTCTCAGCTGCATAAGGAGTTGGGGAAGGAGAAACTGCCTCACACTGAGTTTTCCAGTGAATGGCTGTGCAGGGAAGGTGTGGGGAGATGTGTGTGAACACAAACCTAATCATTGGAGGAGAGCAGGCTGAGTTCCCAGCACAGCCAGAACATTGACCTTGTTGTGCGTCATTCCTAGTGTGGTCAGTTTTTCGTAGGAAAACAGAGGAACTAGCAGGAACACCAGGGATTTTGCACAAAGGAAGCAACATAGGGAGAATAGGATACTTTTTTTTTATGCAAGTACACTTTACAGCAGGAGCATATCAGGAATATGAAATGTTGAGTTTCTTGAAGTTTTCGTAGATTATTAGCAGCTAGCAAAGAATGCAAGACGATGCCAGTCTATCCTCCCTTATACTGTTCTCTGGTTTTAATCCAATGTAATCATTCTTCGGCCTGGCCAGGGGCGGATTGACCATTCGAACACACTCGGGCACAGCCCGAGGGCCTGGGGTCAGTAGGGGGCCCCATGAAATGCCCCGGTACACTTTTTTTTTTTTTAGGCTTTTATGAGTGTGGGCAAGGACACAGGGGCCCCATGATCCCTATTGCCCAGGGGCCCCATGAGTTGTCAGTCCGCCCCTGGGCCTGGCAGTATCTGGAAAGTGTAATTATAAAGGAAGGTGGGCAAAGTGTGAAGTAAAGAGCTTGCAAAATTACATATTTCAATATTCCACCTTCGAGCAGGAACTTTATACTGATCACTGGTATTTAGTGTTCTTTTCCCAGCTATGAGCTTGGGATTAGTCAGTAATAACACTAGACAAGTATACAGATGGGAATAGGCAGTTGTAGTCCTGAAAGCATTGCAAAATAAAGCCAACTGCTTCTACATACTCTACTGTATATATTGTATATATAAAATATAAATTATATACTGTATATAAAATAATCACATTTTGTAGCTTTGCAGCCTGAAATGAAGACAGACACGGTTTTTGTGTTTTTCCAGCTGTATTTATAACTTAAAACATTCAAATGAAAGATTGAACACCAACATGTCAGGAAAAAAAAGAAATTAAAAAACAATCACTGAGTTGGAAAAAGGATCACCCCCACCTAAAAATGACTTGTAAACTCATTCAGGTGTAGCTAATCACCTTCACAATGGCACACAAAGCCATTTTGACTTTCAACTGTGATCAGCTGTGATCATTTTGATTAGCTCAGCATGAAAAGTGCTTATCTGGATCATTTCAGTCCCTGCAACTGATGCAAACAATCAACTATGAGTGGCAAGGCACTGTCAAAAGATCTCTGGGATAAAGTTGTGGACAGGCACAAGTCAGGAGATGGATCCAAAAAAAAATCAAAGGTTTTATCAATGCATTGAAGTCTATTTTTAAGAAGTGGAAGGTATTTGGTTCAACATAGATCCTTCCTGGAGCAGGACATTGCTCCAAATTGGATGAAGGAGCCAGGAGGAAAGAGGCTAAGAAGAGGCTTATAGCTACTCTGAAGCAATTGCAGGAATTTATGACAAAGAGCGGTCATTGTGTGCATGTGACAAGGATATCACAAATTCTCCACAAATGTGGCTTGTATAGGAGGGTTGCAAGAAAAAAGTCACTCCTCAAGAAGGGCAACATGCAGTCATGACTGAGCTTTGCCAAAATGCATCTTGAAGATTCCGAGGCCACAAGGAAAAAGGTGTTATGGTCAGATGAGACTAAAATTTAACTACTTGGCCTCAACACTAAACGATATGTCTGATGGAAATCCTATGCAGCTCACCATCCATATAACACCATTCCTACAATAACGCATGGAGATGGGAATATCCTGGCATTGGGGAGGGGGGGGGGTTCTCTGCAGCAAGGACTGGAGCACTTGTCAGGATAGAAGGAAAAATGGATGGGTAAAAATACTTTCAAATTCTTTAGGAAAATCTGCTGCCTTCTGCCAGAAAGTAGTCAATGGGAAGACATGACAATGACCAAAAGCACACATCAAAAATGACCACAGTGGTTGAAGAAGAAAAGGGTGAATGTCCTTGCATGGCCTAGTCAGAGCCCAGACTTGAAACTCATTGAAAATCTGTGGAATGACTTGAAGACTGCAGTCCATGAATGGTCACCATCAAATTTAACTGAACTTGAGTAGTTCTGCAAAGAAGAGTAGGCAAATATTGCAAAATCTAGATGTGCAACGTTAGTAGAGACATATCACAACAGAGTAAAGACTGAAATTAAAGTAAAAGGTGGTTCAACAAAATACTGACAGGAGGGGGTGATCCTTTTTCCAACTCAGTGATTCTGTTTTTTAATTTTTTTTCTTCTGACTTGTTGGTGTTATAAGTTGGATGTCATAAGTTGCACTGAGTAAACACAGCTGGATAAAACAAAAACTGTAGCAGTCTTCATTTCAGGCCGCAGAGCAATAAAATGTGATTATTTTAGCAGGGGGTGATTCTTTTCTATACCTACTGTATATAGTGTGTTCCAAACACATTTTAGACTATGTATTTATTTTTCGACATACACAAGAATTCTTTTAAGGAAGCTACATGGTTGACATATGCTCTGTAGAGCCTTTTGGGACCTAAGATGGCTGAGTGTTTCTCCATTGTTTGAAGATAGCTTTCTTGGGACTGTTTTAGTAAAACAAATTACAAGATAAGCCACTTAGAGGTTATTGTTGTTGGTGAAAATCTGCCAAGAGCTTTGTAGGTTTGCACTAAGCTAAGAGGGCCATTAAAGATTCGTGATGGGAAAATCTGATTTATGGCATAACAAACAAGTAAATTCTGAAAATGTTATTCATACAAAGTGTTTGTGGCCTCTCAATACTTATGAATAGAACTGGCTATGTTAGCAATCTGCAAACAATAAAGCAGGTTCTGCCTCAAGGTAGCCCAGCGATGGCCAGAAATTACTGCCTACTTGTGTGCAGGTTGTGGATACAGTCCAGTTCTTTGATAGAAGCAACAGTGTTGTGATGTTGTAAACCATGCACACAGGCTGTTTGGTGTAGGGTTGCCATTGGTAAAAAAGGTATTAGGGATGCGGTTAGAATTCGCTGGGCAGATTTGCTTTTTCTCAGTACTGATTAAATGCTATAAGGGAGGCCCACATCTGCCTGACATGAACAATTTGTGCTCATCATTGGAGCCAATCCCAATCCTAATTTAATTCTTCCATCTGCTATGGGCAACAATAACAGTGGAGTTGATTTACTAAGATTGGAGTGTGCAAAATATGGTACAGCTGTGCATAAAAAAACAATCAGCTTCCAAGTTTTATTGTCAAAGCTTAATTGAACAATTAAGCAACAGAAGCTGATTGGCTACCATGCACAGCAGCACTATATTTTGCTCTCTCCAGTTTTAGTAAATCAACCCCAGTGTGTCCTTCAACCACTAAAGCAGCCTTTTCCACAAGTTCTAATGTTGCAATACCCTATTGTTAAACATATCTATGTATTCATAGTAAAGATTGCAAACTGAGCAAATTTCCATTTATCCTAAATAATTTGACCTACAGCATTTCTCTGTGAAACATTCGTAATTCTTTGACTTTTATTATCCAGGCGGGGCTGAGAACTCTTCATGACATTGGTCCAGAAATTCGACGAGCCATATCATGTGACTTGCAGGATGATGAGCCAGAGCAAAACAACCATGAAGAGGAAGAAGAAGATATATACAGGGTAAACAATTCACAGTAGAGTATAGATGGATTACTTATTGAGTTTAGTACAGTAGATGGTTTTGTAATTTAGAACATGTCCTGGCATCAGTCAGGTTAATAGCTGTCACAGAGTAACCATTAAGGTGATTATAAACCTTTGCTTTTTTTTTTAAATAACAAACATGTTATATTTACCTGCTCTGTGCAATGGTTTTCCATAGAACAGCCCTGATTCTCTTCTTCTCGGGTCCCCCTCTGGCATTGTCCACTCATCCCCTCCTGCCAAGTAGCCACTCCTGTGCCTGGGTCAATGGACACACAGAGCATGGCTTGGCCCCACTCCCTCCTCACTGGCTGTGACTAGCAGGAGCCAATGGCTCCCGCTTCTGCCTCTCTGTCCAATGAGGAGAGAGAGCCACTTCTCTTATGCACATTGCTGGAACGAGATTGGGCTCATGTAAGTATAAAGAGGAACTGGGGGGGGGGGGAGCAGCACTCTGAAGGACAATGCATTAAGGTAAAAAAACCTTCAGGCTTTAGAATCACTTTTTAATGGAGAAAAAAAAGTGCAAAAGGTCTGGCTTTAAATTTTGTTTGGATTGCATCTGTGCCAGTCTGCTCAATGAATAAGTAATAAGTAAGGTGAGCTAGAACGATTATTTCACATATTAATAGTGAAGTACTGCCCTTTCAGGGCCTAAAAGGGTGCAGGGGTAACCACAGAAGTGGCCACATGTTCAGACCAGGCCTTCTGTTCCAATGAGGATGCTTAGCCAACAATTTTATACTTTAGGAAAGTTAAGTAAATTTTAAATGGATACAGTGCCTTGAAAAAGTATTCCCTTGAAATTTTCCACATTTTGTCATGTTACAACCAAAAACTTAAATGTATTTTATTGGGATTTTATGTGATAGACTAACACAAAGTGGCACAAAATTGTGAAGTGGAAGGAAAATGATAAATGGTTTTCAACACTTTTTACAAATAAATATGTGAAAAGTGTGACGTGCATTTGTATTCAGTCCCCTTTACTTTGATACCCCTAACTAAAATCTAGTGGAACCAATTGCCTTCAGAAGTCACCTAATTACTAAATAGTCCACCCGTGTGTAATTTAATCAGTATAAATACAGCAGATACTTCCGCTTTAGCTGACAAGTGTATGCAGAACACAGTGAAGTATCTACCCTACTGTTCAAAGCTCTGTTTTATAATTCCACCTTTGTTTTGTTCATAAAAGGGAGCTGTGTCTTGCCTTCTGCAATGCAGCAAGTATACTGTACCTGCACCCTTGCATCCTTATAACCAGCACCAGTGAGATACCAGGAAGAGAAGTGTAATGATTCAGGTGGTCACTCTGTTGACATCAGGAGAACCCCCTGTGTTATTTGGGCTTCTTGTTTTAGAAGCGCAGTGAACATGCACATTAACTTGTTAGTGGTACGGGCTTCAGATCCAGGAAGTGAATGGCAGTATATGACGATACAGTATGTGGGCTAGCAAAGAAGGACTGAGGATATTATAAGGTTTGTATTTGGTATTTCTCCCTGTTATACCTTTTAAAAAAAATACAGATCATTAGTTGTAGTTCCACTTTAGCCAGTTAGGTCTAAGCCTACTCTTAATGATATTGTGTGGGTTTGTAATTTGGGAGAATTGTTGCACATACTAACCACTTCTTTATGAATATTCCTGTAAATGAGAATATGAGTGATTGCAGTGGGCAGAAAGAACTTTGGAAAATGTTTAAAAGTTGATATATATATATTTGGATAGCATTTGGACCATAAAAATCAAAGAATAACGTTCATAATGCTTAGTTACAGAAAAATTAATGAATATCACTTCACTTGCAGAGGAATGGTGGTCTGTTTGGAAACCATGTCAACCATGTGGGGAATGACAGGCGTGATTCCTATCAGCAGACTAACACCACACGGCGCCCTCTGCATGTGCAACGTCCATCGATCCGCTCTGCGAGCGACACTGACAAATCTGTGTATTCCCACTCGGGCAACTCTGTGCATCACAACCATCATAACCATGAATACTCTGGGAAACATGTACCAAACTCCACCAACGCCAACCTAAACAATGCCAACGTGTTCAAACCCGCTAATGGGAAACATTCTAGCCTCACCGTTCATAATCACACGTCTGAGAATGGCTACTATACCTACTCAAGGAATGACTACGAGAAACCAAGAAAATCCAGTATTAAAAGGTAACCCTGATAGCAAAATGTTCTTTAAAATGAATCCAGTAATGGTTGCACATCTAATTTTGCCATAGTGGCTTTCTATTACAGAAAAAAAACCCTTTCTTGGTGTGCTCAATAAGCATTTCTATTCTGAGTATCAAGGCTCTCAGCACTCCTGCATACACAGTCACAGTTCTGCTCTGATTTACGGGATGCAGGCAGACAAATACAGATAGATATTTTGGCTGGGGATAGGAACTCACAGAGCTTCTGATTTGGATACTATTGTTATTATTAGTTGTTATCAGCAGGGCAAGAAGAAATAAGAATTTAAATAATTTTATATTGTTTGATTAGTTTGAAGCTCCTTAAAATGTTGCGCAAATTTTGTCTGTTGCAGATTACCTGCTTGTATTGACAATTGATTTTTTTTTTTTTGAAAGGTTAGATATGGGAGTTAAAATAGTAAACAAGGTGCTCATGCACTATTGGATATGTGATTGCAACAAAATAAGTGAATGACCAAATAAACCTATTGCTGCAGTCCTCTAATTGTGTAAACTTATCACAATGAAATAATATAGAAAACAATAGGACCGTGCATAATTAAAAACAAAACATATGCATATCTACAGTAACAGCCAGTCCCAAATATGTAGACCCAGTGCTGGAGCTGGTGCTTCATATATAATCTTCAAAAAAATGTTCCACTGTGCATGACAAAAGTGCTCCAAATGGACTGATACTCACCACTATTCAATGACCATCTATTTCTAGAATGGTCATTCATGCTTTCTAATTGTACATCCCAAAATTTCAGGTCTCCAATATATGAACCTATACTCATATCCAAAGATGATCCATGAGGCTCAACAAAGTAGTTGTCAAAAGGTTGGTGGTTTCCAGACCCCCGCAGGTGCAAGAAATTAGATGTATATATCACCATGTAAAGAAAAAATAGAGAAGAAAGGGACATCCCATAGTGTAAACCTGTATGGTATATTTATTGGGGGTAAAATCAATAAAACACACTCCAAGCAGGGTGCCTGGACCCTTCACCTGGTGTATTCAGCTTTGTTACTCAGAGATGGAGAACACTGCACTGGATGCTCACCAGAGTGGCGTGTGTGTTCCAGAGGGTGGATGTGATGTCGGTGGACGTTGCGTCATCAAACTTCGATGCGTTTCGATACAAGATCATCATCAGGAAGTGCCTTAGATTAGTTTGAAGCTCCTTAAAATGTTGCACAAATTTTGTCTGTTGCAGATTACCTGCTTGTATTGACAACTGATTTTTTTTGAAAGGTTAGATATGACAGTTAACCGTTTATGTCTATGCTGCCTTACCTGGCTGTATTTTGAAATTATTATTGCTGTTGTTTTTTTTGGCTTCGGAGCCGCGTGTCTCTAACACAGTTTTATGTTATTCTCAGCTGACTCTTAGGTGCTCACACTGCTCTGTCTGAACACTTGCTGCTTTATAGCCTTTCTAAAAGCATGGATCCAAACAGAAATAGCCTTATCAATGCATTTACCAATGTATTTTCTATTTAATGTTTTGAGTAGGGTGTCTAGTTATAATTTAGTATGATATTTGCATGGGGGTGGAAATCAAGCTTTTTATTTGGGACATCAAAGGCCAGATACTGGACAAATCTCTTTGCAGCAATTCACTTTCCAGTGCATTTAGCAAAATCCTGCTATAAATGAAGACTGTAAAAGATTTCTCTTTTTAAAGAAAAATTCTGAAAACAAGTGTTGTAGCTGAGAAGTCAAATGTCTCAGTGAAACAATTAATATAATTTAGCTGACACATAAATCCATATATTTTAATCTTTTAACCCCAGCGTGCTGTATTTTTTGCATGAAACATTAACCTTTTTCTTCTTCTTAGACTCTCTGCAGGTTGGTGGCAATACTGTGTCACTCTGTCTGCCTTTCGTTGTGCTGTCTACATATGTAATAACTGATATTTATTTTATGTCTAATAAATATCTTCCCATATTTGTATGGCTTTTCCGGATAGGACCCGCTATTATGAGACTTATATTAGGTATGTTCCTCTGTGTCTGTCGATAACTGCTTGCGCCATACAATATATGCGAAGCCCATGGTTATTACATGCTCTGCTTCAGTGTCCGTGTCTCTGCATGACCTGTGTAATTGTAGTGTCTGATTTTCACTTTCTATGTCAGAGATGTTCTGCAATACCATATTTTGGCTGACAACTAACACAGTTCATCTAAATATCAATATGGCAGTCAGGGATGTCCTAATGAATGTAAACTGTGGAATCGTGACATCAGCCTTGGTGAGAAGGTGGTCCGTAGAATTATCTGCCTAAGAAAATGGTGATGGCCAGCAGCCTGTATTAAATTACTAGCTCTTGACATCTTGAAAACTTCACTGCCAAGGGCATCTATTGATATCTGTGCTGGAAAATGTGTATATATATACCCACAACATTTTTTAAGTAGGGAAGGGTTAAGACCTTGTCCTTTACTATTTTTCTGTCTGTGTCCTGTTGGGAAGATTCCTCTTCACTTTCTGTCCTGAAGACACAACAGAAAGTGGAAGCAAGGGGAATTCCCCTCTTAAGCCAGCCATAGATGGATCAAATCTTAACTGATTCAGCAGGGACAGTCGAGATTAGATCCATTTATGGGCAGGCTGGTTGTACTAAAGTTGGTCCATCGATCTACTTCAATACAGCTAGTCTGACAGTTTTTTTCTGTATGCTGCCATCAGAATCACAATAGCTCGTCAAGAGACTGACTGTGTTGATGGCAGAATTGTGCAAATTTCTTTCCTTCCACCTGTGGTGGAAGGAAAGAAAATCATATCATAATCATTAGTCAGTTGTCCCATTGTAAGACTTGCCCTCACCTCTTGTTGGTGACAACTGTAACATTTTGGGTTTCCCCTCATGTTCTATTCTTCTGGGAATGGGCTACCAGGAAGGGTCAATCTGTCTAGCGGAGACACAGACCATAATAAAAAACTGTAACCCATTCCCTACTCTAATCTAAACATAAAAAAAATAAAGGTTTACATATATCTGAACATTGCACATCTACAGTAGTTATGTTTTTTACAGTAGACATACACAGCTGTGGACCCACTCCCTATTTGCTGAGCCACATATTATTTGCTTGAGAGTTGCAGTTGCATAAGTGTAGGAATGCGTATTTCCTCCAATAAATAGGAAATCTAGTTTATGTACAATATGTCACTTCCTTTCCCCCATGTCATCAAAAAACAATCTATTCTAGATCATTTCTCCTGCAGACAAATGGTATGTTATTAAAGTGCAACTCCAACCATAATTCTTTAATAGGGTCGCAAATGGTTAGCACCACGTTATTTTTTTTCTTTTGTTGCAGTCTGTGGCCATGTAAGGAGGTTTCCCCTCACTCCCTATCTCAGTGACAGTATTATAACCAGACATTAAAAGAGGGAAAACATGCAACTGGCACACAGGATGGAATAAAAAGCTGAAGTTTTGTTTTCCCCCTACTTTTTAAAAAAATTTTTTTTTTCTTTGTTCATGTTGTATATTTCCCTTCACTTTCGAACTGGTAACAACATTGATACTAAGACAAGAAATTAAGGTAAATCTTCTCAATCAAGCCGTAGACAGCTATACAATCTTGACAGAAGCACCAACCCATCAACACTATTCAAAGTAGAAAAGAAAAGGAGAAACACTTTTGCATTTATAGATCTTGATGTAAAGTCCTCATACAAGTTACAAATGTGAACTAGCTGATACACTATTTAAAGAAAAAGTACAGACAAAGCTCGTATGGCTGTACTTCTCCTGTGGATTCCCGGCCAGCCAGTCCAGGCTGGGGAAAGATCCCGACTTTAAAATCGGGATCCCCCAAGATGTCTGGACCGGCACCTGGCTTAGCCTCTCAGTGAGTCGCTGAGAGCCTAGGCCAGCCGCTCCCTCCCCCGCCACACCCCGCGCACTCCATTTTACGCAGAGGGGACAGAGCAGAGAGCAGTGACTGACAATTATCGTTTTCTGCTCAGAGTGGCAGGGAGAACTGAACGATTGTCAGTGTGTGTTTGCTCAGTTCTCACCCTTAGAGCCAGCGGGGGAAAAATGCAGCATCGGATCGATGCTGCACCCACCTAGGTAAGTATGATTAAAAAAAATACTTTTCTTTTAATGTTTACTGCATCAAACTACAATGTACTTAAGGCTTTGAACACACTGGATTTCTGTTGTATCTTTCAGTATGTTTAGTGCCGGTTCACACTGCTGAGAATTCTATGCGGATCAGATGCGTTCAATAAACCATAGATTCACATGTAATGTCAAAAGCATTATTTCCAATGAGGCCTGTTCACATATATGTGGTACAAATTTGATGCGGTTGAAAAAAAGGGTGCTGTGTGAGTTCATTGCGGGTGTGGTGCTAATTTCATCTCCTACGATGTCCAGTCCCCTCAGAAATCACATTCAATTCGCACCTGTCACAGCAGAAAACGCACTGTGAAACCGCATCAGATTCGCAATGCATCAGTGTGAACCGGCACTTAGAAGCCTCTGCCTTGTATAGAATACCCCTCCTCCTCAGAATCTGCAAAATCTGGTGCAGCTGTGTATGGTAGCCAATCAGCTTCTAATTTCAGCTTGTTCAATTAAGCTTTGACAAAAAACCTCAAAGCCGATTGGCTTCTATGCAGAACTGCACCAGATTTTGCAGCAGTTTTAGTAATTCAACCCCAAAGTATCCCAATTGACACTGCTCTCAAAATGCCCAAAAGTACTTTTGAGCCATTCAACATTCCAAAGCTGAGAGCCTTTGCTGGCACCTGAAGTTAACAGTAATGAACTGTTGAATGGCTTGGCTTGGATGGACCCTATCTCCAGGTCATGAAAAAAATCAAGGATTATGTAGTATTTGCTCAGTTTTCAAGTGCTCCCTGGGTGCACAAACAATAATTTTAGTATTTGGCGTCAACACAAAATGACCTGCACTTTGCTAGAATTGTAAGTATAAAAACTTTAAGAACTGAGAAGTTCATTTTAAAGCCCAACTGAACTTTCAGAATAAAATCGTTAAATACATGGTGTATCAAAGGTCATACAGTTTGCTTTCCTTCTAAACCAGCAACAGCAGTAGACAATGTTGTTCCCTACTAGCAGCTGCAGAGTGGGTTCTTTACTCTCAGTAGGGAGCAGTAGTCTGTTTGCAGAGGTCATATTTTATAGCTGTGTGATAAAGAAGCTCATGGTCTTTGCTGATTGAAGCAGTCCAAAGCCTGGTACACACTATACGTTTTGTTTCATTCAACCCAATGGGCTGAAAAGAAAAAAACCTGACAGATCGCTGTACTATTACAAGTGATCTTAGTACAACGATCTCCCCCCACTGTGCTCCTGCCAGGACACACTGATTAGTGTTCACAGCCATTGGATACGAGCGCTGCTTGGATGCCGATCGGCTGCTCATTTTTCAGCATGTTCGTTCGACAGAAGTCAATTGTGAGATCTGCTTCTTTCGGAAAGGCAGCTGTACACACAGGCCGAAAACCGGTTTCTACTGTACTGGCTGATTTCAATCTATATTTGGCCTATGTGTACCCTGCCTAACTAACCCTTAACCTGGTGGACCTCTGCAGTGAGATCACCGCTTCCATTCAGAGAGCAAGGGTCTCACTCTACAGCATGCTGGCAGAGGACAAGCTTTTCTACTCAGAATATAGCTGCTTTGGAGAGAAAACTAACTGACTTTTCAAATCTTTTGTTTTGATGCACACTGAATGTGTTTGACCCATTTAAACTGAAGCTTCAACTGGACTTCAAATGCCCCCTATAGATGTATTTGTGATAATTATTTTTTTTGTTATTGGAACATTTTAAACTGATGTTAAAGGCAGTTTAATAGAGAACATTCTCATTTCTTTTTTTTTTTTCTATGCCTTGTAATGACCTTTCTGCATTGGTGGGATGCAGTGGGCCTATTAATTAATGTACTGCTAGTCCCTTTGATATATTTGTGTCACTATCACAGATCAGAGTCTGGAGAGAGGAACATGCCTGTCATCTTCCGTGAAGATCCTGACTTTATGGATTATGAGGATCCATACCTGGGGGAGCCAGAGTATTACAGTGGGGAGGAGTATTATGAAGAGGACAGTATGCTGTCTGGAAACAGGTAAATGATTAGAGTAACATGATCAGGCTCTTCCAAAAAATTGGAGGAATAATGAAAGTGTTGTCCACAGCAGCTAATTAAATATCCAAAGCGCCTTTGAAAAATGACAGCTTTATTTGGATTGGTGTTTATAAAGAACATGCAAACTTGAATTTCCTTTAGGATTATAGAACTGTATTTTTCCTACTAGTCCATCTTACCAGAATCTCTTTTAACCCAGACCAATGTATGATGAGCCCACAATGTACCCAGCCAATGACCTGGACTATGAGCGACCCAAAGGCTACCACCATCCTTACAGTTTCTTTGAAGAGGAGGACTCACAGATATGTTATGAATCAAGGAAATCGCCAAGACGGAGACTGCTGCCACCAACACCCCCGTGTGAGTAGCCTCCATACAACCTTTTCTACAAATATGATAGATTTTTTGATCAGCTCAAATAATTTTTTTTACGGGAAGGAAAGATAGTTTAGTATGGAATATCATATAGTATAGACCATTCCCACAATTTAAGACCACTTTTTATGTTCTCTCCAATATCACACTGGAATGCAGTGATGAGATGTTTGATAAGCTTGATTAGAATAGTTCATTTTCAGAAAATATGACATAGTGTAGAGATGGTTGACAACAAGATTATTCTCCATTTTGTCTGGGTCTGGAAGAAGCAAAGTGTGGAGATGGTTGACAACAAGATTATTCTTCATTTTGTCTAGGTCTGGAACAAGCAAACTCCTGTGTTCACTAAGCAGCATGGCAGCCACTTGGCACAGGACCCAGAAGCCAGCAGCAATCACTGTAGTAACAACTTTCATGGGGATCAGCCAGGAATGGTGTATGTGTAGTTAGAACGGTTTAAGCTAGACCAATGTAACTATGCAAAAATAGCCATACCTGGAATTCAGCTTTACAAATCCTCTGTGCATTCTGGCTTTAAAATAGGCCAGGAACATTGTGAGCTTGGCAAAAAGGAGAAACTTAGTGGACCTCCATTAAGAGTTAAACTGGCTTACAATCCTTGTTGCAGAATGACCAGATTCTGCTTTCATTTACACCTGATGCACTGGGATGGTGTAAAGGTGAATCTGATTTGCTGTTATGGTCAGTATGGATTTTCCTGAAACAAATTATTCTCCTAGATAGTTTTATGCATGACATCAACTATTCCTGGAGTGAGATCAGTGGTATAGAATGCACAAGCACTAGACCCAATGAAGCAATAGTGTTTATACTGTAGATCAGCAACAACATGAAATTATACTATTATAGGCCACAAGACAGAGCAGCTTTCCAGAGCTCAAACCAGCTGACAAATACAGTCGGGTATACCATTCTTTCTGGCAACTTTGCCAGCAGGACTAACTCTGTTTTAGAGTTTTCATGGTGGTCAGACAATGGAAGTCATACTTACTTCTTCCTATTGACATGACATTTGTTGTTGTGTTCATTGTGAATCCCAGGGAAGGGTGCTAGGGGGCTGGGTACATCAGTTGGTAGCTTCAGTTCTTTAGAACCTATCCGTGTCAGTCAGCAAAGGGACGTAATAAAACTGAACATGTAATATGTATGTGTGTGTTTGTTCTCCAGAAGCAACATATTTCTATGTCCTAGCAGTCTTGACCGCCAACTGTGGCATGTACACTCAGCTCACTACAAGCTTCCAGACCCAGCTTTTGGGGGTCACTCAACTGCCCAGCAAGCAACGTTTAACATGAATATGTGAACTTTATGGATAAATTGCTCTACAGAACCTGCAGCTCCAGAGCTCAGTAGCCCTGACTGTAACATTGAATAAAACCATGAGTTCTGGTTGCATTATTTGCAGCTGAATGTCAGTTTTCTGATATGACATGAAAAGAATGCTTGTTTACAGGTATATTTTTCTGTTATTGCAGCCAACAGAAGATCTTCATTCAATTTTGAATGCCTTCGCAGACAGAGCAGCCAGGACGACATACCTCTATCGCCAACATTTCATCACCGTACAGCATTACCACTGCATTTAATGCAGCAGCAAGTAGGTTCATACTTCACCTTACCACATGGGGTAGTTTTTGTAGGGAACTATGTAGATCTACAGTTCGTTAGGTTGGAAAACTACAGGTCCCAGTGTTATGATTCTGCTATTGCTTTATTTTGTGTAGAACACCAATTCACAAAAAGAACATTGGGGAACTTGAGAAAGTACAGAGAAGGGCAACTAAACTGATAAGAGGCATGGAGGAGCTCAGCTATGAGGAAAGATTAGAGGAACTGAATTTATTCTCTCTTGAGAAGAGGAGATTAAGGGGGGATATGATCAACATGTATAAATACATCAGTGGTTCATATAGTGAACTCGGTGTAGAGCTATTCACCCTGAGGTCATCACAGAGGACAAGGGGGCACTCTTTACATCTGGAGGAAAATAAATTTAATCTCCAAACATGGAAAGGTTTCTTCACAGTGTGAGCTGTTAAAATGTGGAATAGACTCCCTCAAGAGTTGGTTCTTGCCAGCTCAGTGGATTGCTTCAAAAAAGGTCTGGATTCTTTCCTAGATACACAGAATATAACTGGATACTAACATTTCTAGGTAAAGTTGATCCAGGGAATATCCGATTGCCTCTCGGGAGATCAGGAAGGAATTTTTTTCCCAGCAGGAGCAAATTGGATCATGCTTTGCTGGGTTTTTTTTTTTGCCGTCCTCTGGATCAACTGTGGGTATTGGATTATAACTTCTTTTTTTTTTTTTTTTTCCGTGGTTGAACCGGATGGACTTTTGTCTTCTTTCAGCTAGACTAACTATGTACCTATGTAACAGCTCAAGGTTGGGTTGAAGCTAATGCAGCAGGTTTAGCCTACTGCATAAGAGGGTAGCGGTGTGGTGTTCTGGCACTTGCAGCCCGACTCCAACCAAAATATTTTCTTTTAAGCAAGCCAGTGTCAATGGGGGAATCTCTTCCACAGAAAAACAAAAGGAAAAGAGCGCAACCTATGTATGATCTAGAGGTGGGGTAGAAACACAAATAGGAATAACCAGAAACATCAATGTGCAGGGAAAAACACTTGGAAATAAATGCCAAACAATTGGGACCCAATCGGGTTATAGAGAAATAGAGAAAAAAAATATATAAATAGGAGATGTTCTGTCTAGCTACTGCTGACAGGTGTGTGTCTAACAATCCTATTTGTAGTTCTGTTCACTTATGGCAGCCTTTTACTGGATTGAACCTTGAGTCCAGAAGGATACATGTAAGAAAAGAGAGGTTCCTGTAAGTGTAGAATGTAAAAAAACGTGATTTATTGCACGTGCAATACAGCAACTTACAGGAGGATAGATTAAAAACGCACTCCCATATCCATTAATGGGGTTTGAGCCACGGTGAACTGCATGGCAGTCCAGGATGATGATCTGTCAGTGTCAGGCATGAGCGGCCGGCAAGATGGAAGAGGTCTGGTACCGAGGCTTAAAACGCACCCTGGAGCACAGCGTGTCCGCAATGACATCACCAGTCGTCGAGTGACACATTTCCTGAGCATGCGCTGTGAGATGCCAGTCCTAGCACGCTCCTTTGTCAAGCTGATGGTATAGGAACGGTTTTGTCTATATAACATGTAACCAATTAAAGGCGGTTATCATTTAAAGGAACCTATGACTCTTTAAGACTGAAAATCACTGGTCGAGGAAATTATTGTGGATGAATTAAAACACAAACATCTCAGTCCTATACTACATTCTCAAAGCAAGTAAACACATAATGAAAGAACATCAAAGATAATTGCTATAGAAGGGAAATCGTTATTGGGCATGCAGCCATAAAAACAAGTTTCTTAAATGTTATTAAAATTTTGATTAGGAACTTAGTGGTGATAGTTAAAATATTTATTAGGAATTGGGGATCATTGAAAACGCAATAATAAAATAAGTAATAACCATGAAACGATGGGTATTGATGCACGATTCACAATAGACTAAGAGGTGCCTTTCTCTTTTCTTTTCTTTTCTTTCATGAATCTCTCCCACAGCTCTATTGTGTTCTGCCAGCAGGGAGCCATCCCTGCTTGCAGAACACAATTATTACTACTAGTGGCTATAGCCGTCGGCAGTAATAGCATGCAAAAAATCCAATAGGCTGGTTGTATTGAAGTCGATCAGTGGATCAACTTCAGCACAACCAGCCTGCCCATAGATGGATTGAATTTTGGCCGGGCCCTGCTGAAACAGCCATGATTCAATCCATTTATGATCCATTATCTCCTGCGGTCAAAGACTCGGATCAAACGGGCATTAGTAACAAACATCGTGTTCATCCGCTGGTGATCAGAGGTTGTGCAGCTCTATCATGAAGCTAGGGAAGCTTGATAAAACTGTAGAAGAGGATGAAACAGAGAGCGCACAAACCTTGCGCATTACCTCAATAAATAGTGACTAATTTTATTCAATTTAGGAAATATACTCACAAAGGTGACGGTAAACAGGCATAAGTAAACCATATCCACACAGGGTTACAGGTAAATCCAAAGGGGGGATAAAAACTAACGCGTTTCGAAGGGTGCTCCCTTCTTCTTCAGAGCTGATCAAAAAACATAAATACAAATTCCCCTCAAAATATTACTTGAATCATGAATATTCAAAATGGTATAACGGGTGGTGATACTGTAGATGAGCAGAACAATATACATGAGAATACTCATAAAAATGGCAATATATAAAATAGGAGATGTTCTGTCTAGCTACTGCTGACAGGTGTGTGTCTAACAATCCTATTTGTAGTTATGTTCACTTATGGCAGCCTTTTACTGGATTGAACCTTGAGTCCAGAAGGATACATGTAAGAAAAGAGAGGTTCCTGTAAGTGTAGAATGTAAAAAAAACGTGATTTATTGCACGTGCAATACAGCAACTTACAGGAGGATAGATTAAAAACGCACTCCCATATCCATTAATGGGGTTTGAGCCACGGTGAACTGCATGGCAGTCCAGGATGATGATCTGTCAGTGTCAGGCATGAGCGGCCGGCAAGATGGAAGAGGTCTGGTACCGAGGCTTAAAACGCACCCTGGAGCACAGCGTGTCCGCAATGACATCACCAGTCGTCGAGTGACACATTTCCTGAGCATGCGCTGTGAGATGCCAGTCCTAGCACGCTCCTTTGTCAAGCTGATGGTATAGGAACGGTTTTGTCTATATAACATGTAACCAATTAAAGGCGGTTATCATTTAAAGGAACCTATGACTCTTTAAGACTGAAAATCACTGGTCGAGGAAATTATTGTGGATGAATTAAAACACAAACATCTCAGTCCTATACTACATTCTCAAATGCAAGTAAACACATAATGAAAGAACATCAAAGATAATTGCTATAGAAGGGAAATCGTTATTGGGCATGCAGCCATAAAAACAAGTTTCTTAAATGTTATTAAAATTTTGATTAGGAACTTAGTGGTGATAGTTAAAATATTTATTAGGAATTGGGGATCATTGAAAACGCAATAATAAAATAAGTAATAACCATGAAACGATGGGTATTGATGCACGATTCACAATAGACTAAGAGGTGCCTTTCTCTTTTCTTTTCTTTTCTTTCATGAATCTCTCCCACAGCTCTATTGTGTTCTGCCAGCAGGGAGCCATCCCTGCCTGCAGAACACAATTATTACTACTAGTGGCTATAGCCGTCGGCAGTAATAGCATGCAAAAAAATCCAATAGGCTGGTTGTATTGAAGTCGATCAGTGGATCAACTTCAGCACAACCAGCCTGCCCATAGATGGATTGAATTTTGGCCGGGCCCTGCTGAAACAGCCATGATTCAATCCATTTATGATCCATTATCTCCTGCGGTCAAAGACTCAGATCAAACGGGCATTAGTAACAAACATCGTGTTCATCCGCTGGTGATCAGAGGTTGTGCAGCTCTATCATGAAGCTAGGGAAGCTTGATAAAACTGTAGAAGAGGATGAAACAGAGAGCGCACAAACCTTGCGCATTACCTCAATAAATAGTGACTAATTTTATTCAATTTAGGAAATATACTCACAAAGGTGACGGTAAACAGGCATAAGTAAACCATATCCACACAGGGTTACAGGTAAATCCAAAGGGGGGATAAAAACTAACGCGTTTCGAAGGGTGCTCCCTTCTTCTTCAGAGCTGATCAAAAAACATAAATACAAATTCCCCTCAAAATATTACTTGAATCATGAATATTCAAAATGGTATAACGGGTGGTGATACTGTAGATGAGCAGAACAATATACATGAGAATACTCATAAAAATGGCAATACGTATAATAATAATAATAATGATGATGTCAAAAAACACATACAGAAAAGGTATATATAAAAAAATATACACAAAAAAAAAATTTTTTTTTATAAATATATATAAAATGGGTGGAAATAAATGATGGAAAAAATTGAGAGCTTAATTGTAAAACTGGCATAAAAATCGCTGGTTAAAGATCGATTAGCAATAAAAAGTATCTATAGAGAAAAAATTAACAAAATTCTTAATAATTAATTGTAAAAATATATATGTATACTAAATAATAATAATAATAATAATAAAACTAAAAATCATATAAAATATTGTATACAAAAAATGATATAGAATTAAAAAAAAAAATTCCATATGGAGAATCCATAAAATAAACGTATATAAATGCAAAAGCACAATTGCTATTTAAAAACAGGATACGTTCATTTTATTATGTGTAGTATAGGATTGTGTGTAATATTATATTAAAACAGATACCTGGGTTGAGCAGATAGAAACTTCAGTATGGCAGAGTTCCTATAGCAAGGAGACATTCAACCACTGAGTGTCAGTATTACAGCAGTTGAGCTGTAATATTACACACAATCCTATACTATACATAATAAAATGAACGTATCCTGTTTTTAAATAGCAATTGTGCTTTTTGCATTTATATATATTTATATATGTTTATTTTATGGATTCTCCATATGGAATTTTTTTTTTAATTCTATATTATAGGATTTTTTGTATACGATATTTTATATGATTTT